CCCATCCAAATGCCAAGCCAGAAAACCAGGATCATTCTAACCCCTACTTCCTTTATCCTCACCCACACTATCAATTTCTGCAGATTCTATCTTCTTGATACTTCTCCCATTTGTTTCCTTCTCTCTGGGTTCTACTGTCCCTGTTCTGGTGCCAAAGCATCTTACCCGAACATCTGCAAATGCCTCCTTATTGGTCTCTCCCTTTTAATCTTGTTGTTGTTATGTGCCGTCGAGTAAGACCCGACTCATAGACTTTCTAATACATCCTTCATGATGCTGTCAAAATATTTTCTTCCATCAACAAAGTCTGATCATGTTATTACTGTTCAAAATGCTTTAGTGGCTCTCAGATGCTTACAGGATAATATTTAACTCCTTAACCAAGAAGACAATTCCTTGATAATCTGGTTCTTATCTCCCTTTCATCTCTTAATGCACCCTTATTAACATTAAACTTTATGTACTAATTTGAAGGACTTCCTTATCCCTGCTTTTAATCTACCCCCACCCTCTTCCTGATATATGTCTGGCATATTCCTTCTTATCCCTCAAATTTCAGCCCCAAAACTGCCTCCTCTTAGAAGCTCCCACATAGACTCAGGCCCTCATTCTTTGCTCCTGAGGAACCACTGCTCTACTCATGAAATCACACCGTTTAAGTTTGACTATATGACTGCAGAGATTTGAACTCTGGCAGGGCATAACAGGCACATAGCATGAACAAGAAAAGACACAGAAAGGCAAAGAAAGTCACAAAAGCTTCATGAACAACCTGGAAACCATTTTTCTGTTTATGGACTGTAAATTGAGAATTCAAAATGTTGACATTTATTTTTATGGATTCCTTAGTTGTTCCCCAGCAAGGTATTCATCACAAAGTAACCTCTGAAATCTCAGATGCTGGCACAGGTAGATTGATGAGAGATCTCTTAACTGTTCCTCTTTCCAACTTGCTCTACACATTGTAGCCCCAGCAATCTTTTCGAAATACGTATGTTCTCTCTCACTGTCTCATACACAACATTCTGCTTAAAACCCTTTATGGTTTCCCCTTACTCTTAGGTTAAACATGCCAACCAAAAAAACCTCTTAAAATGAGCTCCACTGCCTGGCCATTCTTTTGACTCCTACCCTGCTGTGTCTCTCTATTGCAACCATACTAGATTGCCCTTTTCTGGGTTCCTTGTCATTTTCCCATCCCTTTCCCCTCTTCTTCCCTAATCTCTTCCTCTGGTTCATTCACCCTTATTCACAATCCTCAGCCTTAGCGTTACTTCCTCAGGGGTGTCTTTTCCACCCTTTGTGTGTGGATTAAATCCCTCAAGTACCTCTCCTCCATAGCATTTTTCATATTGCATTTTGATTCTCAACACTGTAATGATTTAGACAATGCACATCTCCCTGAAGCTGGCTGGTGTACCACATAAGGGCAGGATCCATGTCTCTCAAGTTTCCTGCTGCATCCCATTGCCTGCATAGTGTCTGAGATATAGGTAGAACTCAATAAATACATGAATGTGGGAATGAATGAATGAAGACCAAAAGGGATTTTTCTTACTGCTTTTACCTTCTCCACTACCTTACATTTGTGTATGTTCTTTTACAATTTTAGAGAGGGTTTTCAGAAGGCTATCTCATTTAATGGGAGCTCTGGTAGTGTAGTGCCTAATGAGTCAATTCCAACTCACGGCAACTCCATGTGTTATAGAATAGAACTGTTCCATAGGGTTTTCTTGGCTGTAATCTTTATGGAAGCCTTTCTTCCAGAGTCATTGGGTGGGTGTAAACTGGCAACCTTTAGGTGAACAGCCAATTGCAAAGTGCTTGCACCACTTAGACCTTCCTTTACATGGCTCCCACCACTGCCAAGTTAATTCTGATGCATAGTGATCCTATAGGACAAAACTGCCCCATAGGATTTCCAAGGCTATAATCTTTACAGACTCACTGCCGTTGAGTAGGATACGACTCACAGAGACCCCTCCTTGGGTTTCCGAGGCTGTCTCAATACGGAAATAGACTGTCCAACCTTCCTTCCGAGGAGTGGCTGGTGGGTTTAAACCATCAGCCTTCTGGTTAGCAGACAAGTGCCTTAGGCACTACGCTACCAAAACTCCGGTAGTGCACACTATGGGGTCGCCATGAGTCGGTCCGACTTGATGGCACACAACAGCAACAGTCTTTACAGAAGCAGATTACCATATCTTTCTGCCATGGAGCAGCTGGTGGATTTGAACTACCACTAATCTTTTGGTGCCACCAGGGCTCCACTTTCCATGGGTTTAGGACCAGAACAGAGCCTTTCACTTTCCATACCATACCTCTGTCATTAAACCACTAAAAATAAAGCAAAAGACAGTGTAGAACTTAATAGAAAGCATCTACACAAAACACAAAAATAGAATTATGCATTCATGATTAACTAAAAACACAACACACATTTTACTATTTTAGGATGATAGAACTTTGGTTCATGGTACATGGGTAAAAATATTCTAAATGCTGTATTTTAGCACATACTGTTAGGGACCTGAGAAAGAGCATGTCACCTTAGTCTGTACAAGGATCAGTAAATATTTATACATAATTCTTATTAAAACTTCAATGTTCATGGATTATTAAATTGTTGGCAGGAAAAGAAAATTATTTCTGGAAATCTTTTCATCCTTTTATGAATGAGACCTTTTTATTTTGGGTAAGGAATGAGAAAAGTTCATCACTTACCAGGTTAAAAGTGTAGTTGGAACTATTTATCAGCTCAAAAAGCATTTTCAAACTAAGTACACTCATTATCTGTTTTGAAAACCTATCATTTCAACAAAACCTCTGGTTTAAAGAGAAATTTGTAAATGACTTAATTATTAATTACCTTTATAATTTTTTCACAAATGCACCTTTTAAGTTCAGATGTTATTTACCTAATAGAGTGAACAATTATCCGTGAATTTGCATAAAAATTAGTATTAATTGAATCTTGATTATATTGGAAACTACAAGTCTTCCATGGGGTTTTTGTTACAGCAATTCTCGTCTTCCCATTACCTCAAGTATGTACAAATTTGTTTTGCCTTGAGTTTAGCCTACCGCGGGGAAGCTCTGGTGGCAGCAGTACCTAAGGCATTTAACTGCTAACCAGAAGATCGGGGTTCAAACCCACCACTCCTCAAAAGAAAGGTTGGGCAATCTACTTCCATGGTGATACCGCATGGCAAACCCAAGGAGGGGTCGCTATTAGTAGAAATGGACTTTACAGCATTTTTTTTTTTTTGGTTAGCCTATTTGGTAGCACTTTCTTTAGCCTCGAGAGGGGTAAGGACAGGAACATAGAGAAATACAACCTTGTTGCTAGTTGCCCATAGAGTCCGTTCAAACTCATGGAGACCCTATGTGCACAGAAGAGAATTGTTCCATAGGGTTTTCAAGGCTGTGACCTTTTAAAAACAGATTAGGCCTGTCTTTGAAGATGACTCTGGGTGTTTTGAATCACCTACTTTTCCGCGAATAGTCAGCTCTTAACCTTTTGCGCCACCCATGGACGCCTAGAAATACAACTTAAACCAGCAACCTAGACCTAGATCTGCAAAAGTTCGTGAACAGGAATCTCCCTTTCATTATTTACCCAAGAGAGAATTGTTAACAGTTCAAAGTATAGCGAAAGTTAAATCGTCTCACTGATTTGACGGAATATATATATTCCGTCACACATATATATGTATTTATATATACACATGGCTTTACAATGATTCTTGCATTTGCCCATAATTCCAGTGAATATACATTACTTTTGCAATTAGTGGCACACAAGAATTAAAAAGACAGGACAAGGTCGCGCACTGCCCACCCTACTCTTTTCAATGTTAGGAACGCGTTTGCCGGCTCCGGAGGATTTTTCAGCTCCAGCAAACTTGTCTTAGCTGGCCTCAGAGGACTGTAGTTGTCACACAGCTGGAGGCTGAATACGGGACACAACAGCCGGGACAGACCGTGTCGCCGCCACCACCAGGTTACTCCCTGCCCGGGTGTCGGGTGCGGCGAAAAGCTGAGCCCAGCCAGCCAGACCCACGCGCCCAAAAGGTAGTACACCGCGCCTGCGCACCCTGTCACGTGGTGGGCGCACCTCGCAAAGCGGGTTTAAAGTCACGCCCGCGGACAGCCCGAGAGCGCTCGGCCGGCCGGCGCCCTGCGGTGCTCTCCACGTCCTCAAACGCTAGTTTGAAAAAGGTAGCGCCGCTGTTCTCCACCACCTCCTGACCCCTTGACCTGGCTGAGTTCTATGAAACGAGCGAACTATCTTAGGGTCTTCCCTTGCCGACCGCACACGCGCGCGAAGCCCCGTCTTTCAACTGACAATGAAGCCGTAGCCACGCAGCTCCGCCGCTCCGCGCGAATGGGCGCGAGGCCGAGAGGGGGAGGGGGAAGACGGTTGGTCTACGCCCCGCCCAAATCATCCTCCTATTGGCGGGCGCCGTGGTTCTGGGCCCGCCCCGTAACGGACCTGTCGCTTTGTGACAGGCGGAGGGGTCAGTTCCTGTTGGGTTGGGGGCGGAGCCAGCAGTAGTCTGAGCTCCGCCCGGACTCCCGGCGGGCTCCTCCTCCTTGCTCCACTCGGCAGGGCGGGCGACGGGCGTGAGAGGGAATGTCATTGCTCCTCCGAGTCGCTGTGCCGCCTCCGTCTGCTCCTTCTTCTCTGGCGCCCTCGTCCCGTTGGCTTTCGCCGCCGCCGCAGTTGCACTAGGGATACGGATGGCTAGTGGGGTGCAGGAGCCATCCGCGTTGAGAGAGCGGCGGTCGCGGCCGCTGCTGAGGCGGAGACTCCCTGCCGCCGCCTCCACCCCCCGTCCCCCAGCTTCGCGGCGCTGAGGGCGGGAGCGCGCGGAGCTCTTCCCTCCTCCTTTTTTTTTCTTCCTCCTCCTCCTCCTCCTCTGGGTCCCCGCCCAGCACCCCTCGCACCAGGCGGCGGCGGCGGTGGCGAGGAGCGATACCCGCCGCCGGGGCACAACATGGCGGAGCCCTCGGCCCCGGAGAGCAAGCACAAGTCGTCCCTCAACTCGTCCCCGTGGAGCGGCCTGATGGCCCTAGGGAACAGTCGGCACGGCCACCACGGGCCCGGGGCCCAGTGCGCGCACAAGGCGGCGGGCGGCGCGGCGCCGCCAAAGCCAGCCCCCGCGGGGTTGTCCGGGGGGCTGTCGCAGCCGGCTGGTTGGCAGTCGCTGCTCTCCTTCACGATCCTCTTTCTGGCCTGGCTCGCTGGCTTCAGCTCGCGCCTCTTCGCCGTCATCCGGTTCGAAAGCATCATCCACGAGTTCGACCCGTGGTAAGTGCCCCGCCGCCCCTCCCCCTCCCGCAGGGATCCTGGACCCGCGCCTTACCCTCCGCGCTCTCCCAGGACCTGGCCTGGCGCCGCCTCCGAGCCCCGCTCGCAGTAGGCGCAGGTCCCGGAACTCCAGGCGCGCCCCCTGCCCGCGGCTGAAGTTTGCCCCCAAGCAGTCCGAGGCGGGGTCATCGGGTACCCGAAGTGAGAAATTTACCCCCTGGCGGGGCAAGTGGGACAACTCCCTAGAGGACGGATGCAGCCCGTGGGCAAGGTCCTGAGCGGCCACGCCGGGAGCCGGCAGATCGCTCCTCCGCCTCCTCTCAGGCATCGCGCTCCCCGCCCGCGGCTTTTGCGTTGTTTCATTTTTGCCAGCGCGTTTTGCTGGTTCGGATGGGAGCGGCTAGGGGTGCCCTGTTGCCGCTGTAGGTGAGTCTTGATGTGCTGAAGTCTGGTCAGCTCAGCTTCGCAGTTTACCTCTCCGACTGTGTCTTCTTTTGCTCTCATTATACAAGAAGGGAAAAGGAGACTGGGGTGTTGTAGTAAAGGAAATAATATCCCTGAAAGTGATCTGAAAGCTGAGGACTCTTTATTTAGCATTAGGTATTGCCAAGAGTTGCTTTTTTCATGACCCTTAAGTATATTCAGCTCCTCACTGTTCCACAATCATTTTGGCTTGCTTTTTAGACTAAGATCAATACTCTGTTAGCCAAACTGTCACCCTTAGTGTTTTATGCACAATATCCGAAAGTGTTGCATTATTTCCTTTATTGGTGTCTGTAGGGAGGTTTGTGGATAAGCGAAGAAACGATACTACTTAGTGGTGTGGGCTGTACTTATCGAAGTTGGACGTGGTTTCAGTGGCTGACCTGTTACAGGATATTACCCCATTTTTAAGGGCATTAATTTAGACACCATGCTGATCTGTGAATTATTTAGATGAGGAGAATTGCTTTAATTTTTTTTTCAACTTGCCCAACTTGAGAAGTCTTTTGACATTTGAGAGTATGTGTCTGAAACTAGCTTAATTCATCTTGTTGACCTATCAGCTTTGAGTTAATCTTACTTTGTAATTGGAATTAATTAAATTTTAGGATATTTGTTTTATTTGAAATGCGAAGAAATCTTGAGAGTGTTATTAAATATATAGGTTAAAAAATATTTCTTTGGATAAGTTACCCATGTATTAAAATGCTGGATTGAAGTTCTGGTGTAGAGAGAAAAATTGGTAGTACATCATCTATTGAACACCAGAGGGGCCCACTCATGGAGAATTCAATTTAGATAAATATCACTATGATATTCTCCCTGAAACGTTTTAATGCCGTTTTAGGGGATTTGATTTTTTTTTCCTAGTTTTTATTTTTTTAAATAACTTTTCTGTTACAGTACTTGGAATCATACAAGAAAAAAAATTAGTGTGGATTTTTTATGAGCCTAAGAATATCTGTGAACTTTCGTAGTCTTTGCTATGGGGACATTTAAACAAATTAGACAAAAATGAAATTGGAACCAGAAAATGAAAACTGCTAGTATTTTATTGAGCAATTTGAAAAGAGAAAGTCCTGTCTTTTTAGATTAAAACTGCAGAAATGCATGACTGACCAAACGTTACTCGTGGCAAAAATTGTGAGCCCTATTTACAGAGAGTTTCATTCTTAAAAATGATAGTCTAAGTATTGTGTAATAGTTACTGTGAGGCTGCAATTAAGGAGTGTAGAAAAATTCACAACTGAATGATTAAGCTATTTTGTCTTATTTTGAAGGAAGATTAGAAATTTGCATCAAGTCAGCCAAAGAGTACTAGCATAATTGAGTAATTTAATCATGAAAAGGCTTATCAGGCTGCTTCATAGATGAAGTAGTTAATTATTCTTTTATAAAAAATGTAAATAATTAAAAGTTGATTTCTTTATCCAGTTTCAAGAATATGCTTGGTGCTCACAACTCTTTTCATTCATATGAAAATGTTTTGCTTCTATTTCTCTATAAGTATAAATGCACATATCTGACATTATAGAAGTGTACACCTCTTCTATCTTTAAAAATCTACTTAATTTAAATATTCTGCTTACTGATGAAGTTTTAGTGTTACATTTTATTTTACTCCTGGTTAAATGTTTATGCTCATAATATTAGATAATTTTGATTACTAGGAAACATTTATATATAAAGGAATTGTCCCTATTTCTAACTGAATGGAAATATGCCAGTAAAAATCCAGTATCTAAGTATAATCCTTCAGGTGACTTAGTGAGAGAATTGTGTTACAGATCATTAAAAAAAAAAAACCAACCTTTTTTGACCACTTTTTTTTTTGTCTCATATTTGAAGAGTTCAAGTAGTTAAGCATCTCATTCTTTCATACTTGTTGAAAGTTTTTTAAAAATTGAAGATGGGGGAAATTGCTTGTCTTTATTACTTTGAATTTTTAAAGCAGTTTACCTGCAAATCTACTCATACTACCAACACTTGAATTGGTCTACAGTCCATTGTCATTCTAGCCTGGGAGTTTCTCAAATTATGTTTTACTATGTAGCAATGACGTGATCCAATCTATTCTGGCCTACCACACCTTCCCCTACTCCTTTTGCCATGTCTGTGTCATTGACTTCATTTCTAGAGTCTTTTTAGTGAAAGGTTTACTTTGTTTGATTATGAGTTATTTCTGTACATTTTACAGTAGTTAAATTGTGTGAGACTTAAGTTAGCTGTCAAAAATGACTCAGTGTCACAAAGTTACAGTGTTTTTTTAAAATTTGTCACCCAAGTTATTTTATGCACCTTACCAACTGTTTTAAGGGTTGGTCTATGATGGTGAATATTAAATATTTAAAAGTGCTTTGCAGTTACTTAGAACTTTAGCAACATTTTGGTAATGATCTCATCACCAACCCACTACAATCATTTCCACCCTTATCATTTGAGTTGATCAGATGTGAGGAAGCAGTTTCTGAATGTGTTGTCTGTACTTGCCAAACATTTGGTTTAGTTGGCCAAACTTGTTTAACAGCATCTAATTTTATCTCCCTTTTATCTGAAGCACATTGTAGTTCTGGTTACTTCTGTTCTAACTTTTAATTCTTTCCCATTGTATTGTTATATGCTAGCAACCCCTCCTTGGGTTTCCAAGTGGTTTCACTAAGAAGTAGATTGCCCAACCTTCCTTTTGAGGAGTGGCTGATGGGTATTAGTCAATTACAATTTCCATAATCATTGTCTTTCTGAACTGTGGTAGTTTTTCCTGTGGAGGCCATTGTAAAAACTCCCTATGTAAAGAGAGCTGCCTTTATCCCTGCCTTCACAGGTTGTAGTGGGTTCTCCCCAGAGCTTTGTGCTTTAGTTCTCTGAGCTTTGGGTTTTAGTTGCAGTTAGCCTTAAAAGGGCAGTAGATGCCTTTTTGCTGGGTAGAAAGCTGCATTTTAGAGTTGAAACTTGGAATGTAATTTTTTCCTTAGAACCTATGGTGTTAGTGGGTTAATTAGTACAGACATGCTTTCATGTTTCTTGGGGACATAAGTTATTTATAAGTTGGGGACTACTTTCTGTATTTTGAGGTCTCCATATTTTTCTTCACTTTGCAGATGACAGAAAGAGGCTTTTGACCTCAGTATTGAAAAAGACAAAATGGGTAACAGAACTAGTTTTAGAATATGGCCCCAAATCTTAAAAACTCACTTCGTGAAATCATTAGCAACAGCTGTCCAGCTGTACTTCAGAACAGGTACACTGTCACTGATTTCATTGTAGTTAAAAATTTTTCTGGCCTTGAGCTTTGAGATCATTATAAATTACAAGTACACCATAGGGGTGAGGTATGGGAAGTACCTTGAGCTGCTAGATTGGATGAGGGAATTGGACCTGCTCCCATTTTGGTTAAGTATGGTGACTCCTATAGGTCGCAATTGCTGGGTGTCATGAACATATAGTAGGCCCCAGAGTAATTATGATCTATCATCAAAACTTTGGAATTTTTTCTTTTCTTTTGGAATTTTCATATCTTGAGTGCTAACTTGGGTAGAACTTAGGGCCCCTTACTGCTCTGATTAGTTTGCATAAAGACAGCGTACACCAAGCTTTAGGAACTCGGCACAAAGGTTTGTGCTATGGCCTTTGACCAGTTCTTTTGAATATAGGGTAACTCACTGGCCTATCTGTACCTAATATATCTCTGATTTTTATGCTCTTGGTAACTTTTCAGTATTTTGGAATATGAGTAAATGTTAAAACTTCTCTTCATTGTAATATCATCTCTTAATATTCATCAGTGCATATACCTGCTCTCAGAAATAAAGAATGGAAAGATTAATGTTATTCTCCAGTGACTGAATCACACTTTTTTCATAATTGGTTTATGTACTTTGAAAATGTAATGATCTTGGGGAGGGACAATACTGCAATTCACCTGAATTTTAAAGCACCTCACAACTACACAAAAGGGCCCCTAGTGACGCAGTGGTTGAGTGCGTGGTTGCTAATTGAAAAGTTGGTGGTTCAAACCCATCAACTGTCCTGGGAAAAAGATGTGGCAGTTTGCTTCTATAAAACTTTATAGCCTTGGAAACTGTGTGGGACAGTTCTACTTTGTGCTATAGGGTCACTAAGAGTTGGAATTTGAGTCCATGGCTGTGGGTTTTTTGTTAAAACTACCTAGATTTGTAACAGTTAACAGTGGCTAAATTGTTATGACAATTTTCAAGCTATAAAAATGTTGAAAGAAATTTATAGTGAACACTCATATTTACCACCTAGATTCTAAAGTTAACATTTTACTTCAGTTGTTTCATCATATATTTCTGTCTGTTCCTGCTATTAAATCCTTCATGGAGACACACTTGTTAGTACATTTTTCACTGTAATAAGAAGAATGTTATCATTGTTTCCCAATTCCATTATAAAGAGAATCTCTTATTTCTGTGTAACATTTGTTTTCTGTAATACTTGAACATAATGTGTATGAATATTGGTTTTACATTATTCTAAGTTGGACTATGGGATTGGGT